ATAGTTGTACCATACAGCCCCAAAACAAATGGGATTCCTTATGCTTACAAGAGTGTTGGAAATGAGAAGATACCAGGGGACTGAAACAATACTACAATGGTACTTCCCCAGTATCTACATTCTGAAGCACTCCATCATCTCTACAAACTTTCAATGGCTGAATATTTGGGTGTCAAAGGAACATTGGAGCAAGTAAGGGAACACGTTTACTGGATTGGATGCCGAGAGTTTGTGGAAAATTGATGTAAAACATGTGAGATCTGCTGTGAGGAGGAAGTTACATGAACAATAATAGTAGGAATAGCTAAATCAGTACTATGTTGGGCACCATTAGAGAGAGATTTGCTGTTGATATGATCGGTCTTCTTCCAAAAAAGTAACAATGGTAATAGATATAGCGTGGTTGTAATAGACTCTTTCACTATAAGGTCAGAAGCATATACTGTTGCTAACCAGGAAGCAGAAACTTGTGAAGAAACCCGTCAATGAATTTGTTTCAAAATTCTGTAAGCCATAAAATTTGCATTTGAATCAGTGATAGAACTTTGAATCAGAGATATTTGTGAAAATGTGTCTGATCCTTGAAATTAAAAAACTAGGACGACAACACCTCATCCATTTTCTGATAGCATGGTATGAGATACAATTACGCACTGCTAAATCAAACAGTTGTGTATGTGGATGAACATCATACAGTGTCAGATCAAGATCTTCCACTGTTGCTGATGAGTTATCATACAGCAGTGCATGAAGTTACCAGCAACACACCATCATCACTGATTTTCGGGAGAGAACTGAAAATTTCATAGCCCATTTTGTACTTTTGTCTAGAGAACAGTCTCTCTGAAGTGAATTACACGGGATATGTAAAGAAATTAAGGAACACCATCAATGGCATACTTGACTTTATCCAGAAAAATTAAATAAGCTAGTAATAAAATGACAAGTCACTATAATGTTAATGCTGATAAGAAAAGATTATATTGAGGTGACATAGTATGATTGTACAATCCCCGTGACAAGAAAGGATGAACTCCAAAGTTAAGTAGACACTGGGAGGGGCCACATGCTGTACTGAAATGAATCAATGACGTGGTTTACTAAAGACAGAGAGATAGACAATCGAAGCCAAAGGTCTTTCAACATGAACGTTTTTGAAAGTATGTCAGTGAGAGAATGGCCAACTGGGTTACTCCAGAGAAGAACATGTCATTGGAAAATCAACCTATTGAGGGGCCTTGGCTTCCTGTCGAGACTGTTTCCAGAAAGTCATAAATGGTGGAGCAACCAGTGCATTTACTGAACTACCTACCAAGGAAGAACACCAGCAACAGGGCAACCAGTGACAACAAGGTACAATAAGCCATCTCATCTGTATACCATGAGCCTTGGTAGAGAAACTATCAAAATACTTGGTGAATGGAAAATTTAGTGTAGCATTCTATATTTTATTTTTTTTTGCATTGGGATTGTTCAAGGGACTTTACAATCTAGGAAGGGGCAGTGCTGTAAGTATATTTAATGTAATTTATTGGTTAGCTAAAGGGTGTATAACGTCTAGAAAGTTTTAATGATGTGATACCTAGTTTCTCTATGGTCCAGTTTGTAGAAATGTTAAAGGAGAAAATAAAGTAATTTATTATCTTTAAGTGTACTGTATTGAATTATTTCTATTAGATAATTTAAAAGAACGTGTTAACGAAAGACTTATGCTACTACAATTCCTTTCAATGTATATTTGTAGATATAGGGGTAGAACAAACAGATTGCTTGAAAAAATAATTTTATTGTTATACTCTATTCACAGGTTTGCTCAGCAGTAGAGTTTGCTTCTGTTCTACTATATTGTTTGTAATTTTACATAATGTGCGGAAATAACTGTTTCTGATATGAGAAAAACTAGTCATTTTTTTCTTTTCGTGCTTTTTTTATGAAACTAGTTTTCCAATATGAAAAATCGAAGTCGGCGAAAGTCATAGGGTAAGGATGGTTCTCACTCGCGTCTTTGACGAGATATCACGATATCTATTGTATTAAATGATCTACACTTACCAGGAAGATGCATAAATGGCTGACCGTATGTGCACTTTTCCCTGTTCAAAGCAATATATCGTTGACTAGATATTATTGAAAGCATGTGTTCTTGATATTTCTAGAACTGTTGTTTAAAGTGTCGTTGAGTGTATTGAACAGTTATTCAACTGTTCTTCCTTTCTGTTCATGTGTTGAATCTTCATTTTGTACATGTTATCCTATAAAACTCCGTATAATACTTTATTTGAAGAAAAGGCCTACCAACCTACCCATCTTCCTTAACAACAGTCGAACATGGGGAAACAATTTTTTTTAAGCGTTGCTCTAGGTATCCAATTAAGGTGTAGAAACGTTTATAAAAAATATCTGAAACTGTATTCTAAGTAAACGTAATCCAATCGAATATTAGTTTGTTTCAGAATTTCGCGAAAAGCTACATAAGGACTATCTGCGCATAGCCAGTATTAAATTTGAGTTGATAGGCTAGCAGGAAAACAGCTAGTCAATAACTGCTGCGAACAATTCTTAGGCTTCTCTTGTATAATTTAATAGTGTGATTTGACCGTCTTTTAGCGAAGGTCAACCAAATGTGCGTTTTTCATGGTAACAAAATGCAAAGTTTAAATAGTTGAATTCACAGCCTGGACACGCTAACAGTTTGGCCAGACCATCCCCGAAGTGTTTGCTTTCGCGGATTTACTTACACGCTTAGTCTTCCTAGTGCGAGGTTTTCGGTAATCTTCATTATTTAATAATAACACGACAGAATAAAAGTTATTGTATGTATTAAAATATTTAAATGGGGTCTCGATTTGGTTTTGGCGGTTTTAGACAGGTCTATTTTTGAGATCGTCAGTTGTGAAATATTTTTCATTATTTCTCCATGACCAATCATCACTGTCTAAGTTCTGTAAACTCAAGCTAAAATCATTTATATATATAGTAAAAAACCAATAATACAAAGTTGAAACCAGAGATTGCGTGAGTTATAAGGCATGTACTTTAAAATAATAAAACTTGCTTATCCCTAGAGTCAGGTTGGTCTTTATTTACATAATATGACAAAATATACATTTCCAAGACCACCTAAACGAAAGCATTAATCGCTAACTTTAAGTTAATTTGCTTTATTTAAAATAATGACTGGAGTTTTACTATATAACATTTAGGATTGTTTCTACCTTTTAGTCTCATTTTTACCGCATTTTGATTTCCTTGTGATTCCATAGTTTCAACAATATTTAAAATATATTAATTGACAGAATAACCAAACATTTTCTTGCTAAACTGCTCATAATTCTCTAAATCTTCGCCAGTCGAGAGATGATTCACTAGCAAATCTGAAAAAAAGAATAAAAAAAAACTTTTGATCTGAAAAATGTTCTGTTGATCCAGTTAGGTTGATTTCATTTTATAAACGTAGTTTAAACTGTGTATTTCACTGTAACCTTTACGATTTTATGTTTTAATCGAAACAGTTATGTGTGACTCAACAACAAAACAGCCATTGAAGTACAGACTCATAACGTGTGTGATTAATAAGCCAGAAACCAAATAACCTGAGTGATTTTGGAAGGAAGATATTTCTTCTTGAAGAATGAATTACAGTAAAAATGTTGTCTCCATAAGGATAACGGCTCCAGATCAGTACAGAGACAAATAAGAATTGAGTTGTTTTAGCAAATAAATTGGATAACGACGTAAAAAAAGGTCTTTAAAAGGCATGGTCATATACTTTCCAAACAACTGATAATTTTAAGACACTAAGAACACATGTAAGCTAAGGAGTAGAGTAGAGATTTATCGATGTGCATGAAAACTAGTTGTACTTCTAATTACTTGAAGTGAATTTTGAATCGGTCTACAAACCTTCCCTTTTGATTTGTATTTTCTTTGAGTGTTTTAAATTATAAGTACTATACCTATCTGAGTCAGTGCCCGCTAGAGCTTTTACGATACGTCATAGATAAAGTGTAATTTTCATACCGCCCCTGTGAAACCGATCCTTCTTACAGAACACACAGCGTCAAATAACTTGTTAAATTAAAAGCACTTTACTTTTCATTTATGTTCATAATTTAAATGCATCTCAAACTGCAGTAATCTTTCACCAGTTCCTGTTCTAACGATTATGTAATATAAGAGTAGTAGCTGTAAATTAAATATCTATTTGATCTTTCAGTTACCTAATGACACTCGTATAAGCCATTTGCGGCCGGAATACTATAGTAATCGCAGGATACTTTTAGTGTAATGGTTCATTTTTGCAGTTGTTTTAAATTCTCGCCATCTTATAAAAGTTAATAGCTCTCTTCATTTAATGACTTGTATTTGTGCTAAAAATAATACCTACCAGTGACGTTAATTTGGCACTTTACCGTTGTGAACTACTTTCTTAACCTCATGAAGATACAGTTACTTGAAGTAAACAGCTAATTTTTTATTGTGACTTAAGTGATCAGTTAAGTCTACCATTGCTTTAACTTAACAGTAATTATCTTCTGTAATTTAAAAGAATGTTTTTTGTATTTTTGACTTTTTATCCATTTAATATAATCAATGTAGTTTCCCAGACAACTCAATTCTTACCTTTATATTAACAGAAAATAATTTTTATTTTATATTTCAATATTACAATTAACTAATATATAGATCCATTTCAATTAACTAATATATCGACCCATTACAATTAACTAGTATATAGATCCATTACAATTAACTAATATATCGACCCATTACAATTAACTAGTATATAAATCCATTACAATTAAGTAGTATATAGATCCATTACAATTAATTAGTATATAGATCCATTACAATTAACTAATATATCAACCCATTACAATTAACTAGTATATAGATCCATTATTTTCTTTTTTTGTAATGTAGCTATTCAAAATGATTATCTCAAGAATTAATTAATTTCCTTAAATTGTGAATAAAATAGTGACATTATAATCTCACAGGTAACAATGGCAGACCGAACGGCGGCTGAACGTGCAGTTAGAGATGCCAATCCTATCATTGATGGGAGAAAAGCCAACGTAAATCTTGCCTACCTTGGGGCCAAACCAAGAATAAACACAACGAATGGTAAAAAATATTTAAATTTCTGTCTTAGAATTTTTTTATACCACATCTTAAATGTGAGTAAATTCAATCAAATTGTAATTTAATAACTGATTTAAAACTCGTTTTGCTTACACTTTTATTGTATAATACATATTTTCAGTATGGTTGTTAATTAGTTTTGCAATACAACCATATTTTTGTGAGATAGTATATAAATTAACAGTTTTTTGTTAATTTGTTAACCATACAACTGTTTACGGTTCTGAAATTACAGCTGACGGTTACGTAAAGATATAAAAACGCTCACAATGTTGTGACGATTTTTTTTCACGAGAGGTCTCTGAACCCCATTTATCCTACAGTGAAGACGAGGGTTACTATATATATATAAATGTACGTGTATCTCGTGGTTCTATGGAAGCATTACTGACGAAACGTTTAGAAAAATAGGAAAGAATGTGCTTAAGGATTGTATATCAGATGACAAAAGTAATCTTACACAAGTTTTGACTCAGCAAACATAATTTAAAGGGAAAGTCACGCTTATGATGTTTTGTGGAGGTTTGGTACTCTGTCTGTTCACCCGTATCAGAAGAGACAGTGAAACAAGCTGTAAAATATGATTCGAAACTGGTGATAGAGTACTGGAAAAATGGGAAAACTATTTGAAGCGCTTTAATCGCTTGGCTACTATAATTCCATTCGGACGAGTAAGAGCATCCAACAGTTAACAACCATAACCTACCTGGAAGATAAACTGTTACAACAAGCAGTCCCCCAATAAATATAAAGTTACAGGGTGGATTATTGTTTTGCAGCGACGAGTCATTTCTCTTTGAATGATTTTTGTGAAAGGCCTAATATACTAATAAAAACCTCGAATCAAAATTATATAAACTGTAAATATTAGAACCAAAAGTAAATTCTAAATTAATAAAACCAATTATATATATAAAAAACTGATTATAAGCACTTAACGTCATAAATCTCTACATAAGGAAACACAATTCTATAATGATTACAATGCTTTTAATCACCATTTGGGTATCCACTATGTTAATGATATTTTAGGCCATAATCCTAATAATATCACACGAGGCTTTGAAAGCTCAGGAGATTTTGATTAACTTTAAGTCAATATACTAAGTTATCAGTACAAAATAATCTTCATAATCTTATCAATCAATTCAAAAGTTATTCAGTATTACTATAAATTTTATAACTAATAAGATCTAATGAAACTAACTATAACTAAAAACTAAATAGATAGTAATTTAAAAAACTATTTAATACGAAATATTTGCTCGTGAGATCTATACTGCTTACCAATAAACAACACGTGAATATGCTAATAAACTTTCATGTATTTTACTTACAAGGTAACCTTACAATATTCCAAAACACTGTGGTCAAAATGCAATTACTTACTTAAGGATAATTTTTATGGTATATTCATTTACAGTTTCAAGTTGCAGTCTTCGCCGTGTTAAGGTATTGTTTTATTATTTTTAAATATAAGGGAAAATATTGCATATTATGACTGTTATTTATCTCTGACGAACGGTTTTAAATCTTTTTGGCGTGATATCGTTTGGACGACTTTCGATTAAGTTTACCACTTTCTCTCGAATAATTTCCATATATTTTTTCTAAAAGTTTTACTTTCTTTCTGTATTTATTTCCATCATTTCCGTTAAATATATATGTTTTGTTTGTTTGAAATTAAGCACAAAGCTACTCAATGGGCTATCTGTG